TGATGTAATAAATTATTTAATAGATTGCTTTAGTCGTGTCCGATAACCCATCAGACAAACAGGTGGAGGAGTCTCTCACAACACTCTGCGACTCACACGGCATCACTATAACCAATAAATTTTATTTGCACGGAGACTATCTGTCCATATATAACAAAACGATTGAGGATATAATCGAAAACAGTTACAAAAGAACCAGGGGTAATGTCTGGCCTATAACTTTTATTAATTCCATTCATTGACTATTTCTATAATTTTTTAATTTATACAATATAATGGGATATAACTTAAACAAGTCTAATAATAACTTATAAATATTCTGTGTATGTCGTCATTAAATACCTTATTATATTACATAATAGACATTTAGTTTATGTATGATTAACTGGATTTTGAGTTTGTCTTAAGAATTTGTAGATGTAGAAATATGAGCTTACACCAACGAAGTGCATGGATTATCTTAAATTTAATAAAATTTTCGACCTAATCCAGCTCACTGTCTTTCTATTAGCCTTTCTATTGGTTTCCAAAAACTGTTCACTTACTTTGTGAACAAATAGTTAATTGAATTATAGTAAGCTATTAAAACATTTTAGTCTTAACACATTAATAAATCTTTCAAAGAGGTCGATAACTATTTAAAACCTCAAGAGTTTATTTTGATTCAATGTTAACTAGTAAAACCAATAGTTACCATTAGAAATAAAAGTTTTGTTAATGATTTAAATTTCAATTAAAATTTATGATTGTATATTTGTAAATAAATGTAATGATTAGAATATTTTTTATTGAATTTTTATAAATAACGATAACATTACCTGTAGATCATATTCTCAAATAAGTTCCTTTCATTAATATCAAGTAAATTACTAATTAACACAAAAATGCAACCATAATAAAGACCTTCAGTTTAGAAATAAGCACAGAATCTACTATTTTTGAAGTTGGACTGCAATGTAGCCTATATTTGCCATATACAGTACAGTGCAGTATTAAAGCCAATCCTTCAGGCAATTTTATATATTAAGAAAGTATTAATTTGTCACCAAAAACACAAATATAAATATTATTGATTCAAGTAAATATAGTCTCGAATTTTATTATTACAAAAGTAATAAGAGTTAAGAGAAGTTAACTCTCGAAAGGTTTAACACTGGCTGCAGTTGACGCCAACTTTTCCACTGATTTGTTGTCTCTTAATGTAACCATAGATCCTATGTTTTTAGAAGCAGATACATTCTGATCACACAATATTAGTTATCCATTAATAGATCCCAATCCCACATAAATTATTACAAAATATATTATATACACATTATAACAAATCAAAATAAATTAATTGGCACTGGTTAAATTGTTTAGTATATGTGTTACTGTCGGACACATATGCATTGGTGGACTTCGCGCGCATAATGCAGGAAAGGCTGCTTTTAGACACTGGAAAATATGTGATCATATCTGTTGAAGAGGAAGAGGTCTACGATCCGAATAAGAAGAAACAGTACATAAGCAGAGAATTTGAGACACATTTGGATTCATTAGATCCGTTGCCCTTCCGAGCAGTCTATATGATAACCCCAACGGCGCCCATAAATTCCAATTATACTGATTTCAAAAAAGAAGTCAACGAAAGAAGTCGACTTTCTCCTTTCAATATACCTTTCCATCCACACATAACCATCCAGGTGCCCATTTATGCCGGATTAGCTTATGATGCGGTCATGATTTACGCCAATGCATTAACACGTGTCCTATCAATGGGTGGCTCTATATTAAACGGATCAGCAATTCTTGAGGCCATTAAAAGAAAATCATATAAAAGTAATAATGATATTCAATTATTGACCACAAAATTATTTTAATAATGACCGTTCATTTCAGGTATTTTAGGATTTGAAGTTATGATCGATGAGTCAGGTGAAGTTTTTGATAATCAATTTTTTAAATTAATGCTAATTGTATTAAATTATATATAAAGGCGATGCTGAGGGGAATTACACACTCCTTGCGCTTAATTCAAGGGATGGCGATAGAAGTATGAGACCCGTCGGCGCTTTCTATCACAACAATTAACTCCGAATATATATAATAATATCGTAATCTCTTTATCTGTAAATAAAACATTTAATAAGTTTGTATGTTTTTGTTTAATTTGAAATAAAATATAAATTTTTATTACAGTAGAAACAAGTGTCTTTTTTAAAGTCATACCATTAGCCGTTAGAAATTGTTGCCAACAAATAAATCAATTTATACCAATTTGTAGTTTATTGACTGGTTAAGATATGGGTTACAATTGTGTAGTATGCACGTCATATTGTATCGCAAACTATTGTAACCGATAAGTATAATAGTGAACGAAATAGTTTTAATAAGATTTTTTATTATTCAAGATTTAATGCAAATACTGTGATTTTCTACTTTTATACACTAAATTCGAATTATTAGCTCATTACTTATTTTTATAAGATATTTATTGATACCATCATATTCAGTGTAAAATTCTCTATTAAATTGATATATCACATGACCATATTTATAAAGAAAAATTTCCAGGTAAAAGGGGTCACTTTTAAACATTATAAGTTCGAACTAAGCTTGGGCGAAGGTATAATTTGAGCATATTTTAATTTTTAAGTTCATCTTGAGTTCTTATAATTATATAATTATTATAATTGGATTATTATAATTTATAAGACAAGATTTTAGTTTGCCTATTCAAATCAATGTGAAAGCCAACTTTAAAGGGATAAGTCTAGCCCTATGTAGACTTGAGATTTGTAAAAACTTACAACTTGTTAGATAAGTTTGTTTTAAAATTATACTATAAGTAATTACTTTTGATATTCGTTCACCTGAACTCAAGTCTGTTTCAAAACTGTGGCTATGAGTGACTAAACTCCACATACAGTAAGAAATCCCAAATAAGAAATCAAATTCAGATTTGTGTTGAGCTGGTAGGCGGGGAAATGCATTTGAAAGTCCAGCGCTAGTGGACATTCATTGGACACACGTTTTACTGTCAATAATAAAGAATTTATAGTAAAGAATCCGTCAGACTATCAGAATGAATGAAGTATTGAACGAGTTTTACATATTCTTCAATAACATGTTGATTATAAAGCTTTTCAAATCTGTTAACTTATATTTCATAAATGTTTAAAATTCAAATTATGAGTGACTGTCTACAATATTAAATAAAACTTAAATAAATAAGTTTGCCAAAAAATGTAAATTATTTTCTCTAAGCTTCTTATGTGATTGTAAAACACTGTAATATTTGTATAAAGATATATGATAAATTGTTTGTATTGAATTAATTGTGAGAGTTGATTTATTACAATGATATTATCAAACCTCAAATATTTACGAACAAAATACAAATCGTTACAAAAATATATATTAGTGTTTATTTGTGTCAATTGGTGCCTATGTTGCGATCAGGCAAACAACTATTCTTACAAATTGAATGAAACAAAAAATGATGAGTTCGGCTGGTATTGAAAACCTAAAAATCCAAGAAAGTTTGTACCTAATTGAAATCCGTTTAATTAACGGCCGCGATAAGGAAACCGTCAGCTGGTTTAGTTGTTCATAACTTTGAGCGTATTTTAATATAAACTTACCGCAATTTCATTATTGTTATAAAATTTATCTTTTAAGTGATCCCAATATACTACCAAATCATACGTTAAGATTTAAAGGTAATTCATTAATATGTATTTGTAAAATTTTTAGTTCAAATATCAATATAAATACTCTGTACTCTGTATTTATAATTTATTTTGAAAATATTTTTATTAATTAACTAATAAATGTATAATACAAAACTATATTCATATACAAGTATACATAAAATCTATATTCAATTTTCAATAAATAAATGCCAAAATATTATTTTAAAAGCGGGTGATTCGGGAATACCTAACGGATGGACAGCAATAAGAAAAATGAGTGAAATGAGAGAACAGAATAATGTGGTCGCATATATAGGTCCTGACCATAGCTGTGCCACTGAAGCACTGGTAGCCGCAGCTTGGAATATGCCTTTAATCACATATGTATGTATTGACTCTCAATCAATTTATTATATTATTATATCTAATTAAACAAGCTCACTTTCAACATTTTATAGTTTAAGTGATTATTCTTTGAGAACAGTAATAAAATTGGAATTATGTTTTAAAGGGTATGAAAGAAAATTTTGTATATCAGTCTATAAAAAACAAAATAAATGGGAATAAATATTACCAGAATATTTTTATACATGATTCTTTATAATATACCAGTACCACTTAAGTACAACTTTATAAAGTTATCTATACTCATATTCAATCTTTTTTAACTTTCTAGCTATATTTCTTCCCATTTATTTCGTTTTCTATGGACTGATATAACAAAATACTAATTTCAAATGTATGTCATTTTTATAAAGATTGTGTAAATATTTTTATTGTTGCTTCCAATATAAGAATAAAAATAATGATTTTTCTGATTGATTATATATTATTCTTATGTGTATTGAATAGAAGGTTTCATTGCAAACATCAATAGAAGCCTTATAATTATGAAGCACCTGAACAATCAGTATTGCAATTGTGTTGGCATGCCTTTAATTACACTTTTGCTATTTTTAATCAATCGCTTTACAAATCATAAAGACACTTGTTTCTACTGTAATAAAAATTTATATTTTATTTCAAATTAAACAAAAACATACAAACTTATTAAATGTTTTATTTACAGATAAAGAGATTACGATATTATTATATATATTCGGAGTTAGTATGTAAAATTTATATTATAAATAGTGTATATAAATTAATTACTTTATTGACTAAATAAACACACATTAATTCAATGTATAAAATATTTAACACTTTACTGTACGGTATGAAATTTATCTATGTTTTAATAAATATAATAAATAAACAAAATTTTAAGCCACATAAATTACAAGTGGAAAATGTGATTTTGTAGGAATAACCCTTAAAATATTACTTTTGGTTTAACTTGATCATTAAATGCTAAAGAACTTCATTAATAGTTGCAAAACCTTTACATTAAATTGCTGTTTAATTTGGATGAACTTGATTTTGCATTGAATTGTGGTTTAATGGTAAAGATTTTTGTTGTTGAAGAGTCAATATTTCAGCCCTCAATTGGTTAACCGTTTCCTTGAGATTCTCCAATTGAAGGGCAGAAGTGAGTGATTCGAGTCGAAGATCTGTTAAAATCATATCTTTCTCTCTGAGCTGTCTCTTCAAGACCTGAACTTCATCTGATTCGTTGAGATCATTAGTATTAGAATTGAGGTCTGAATGGAAGGGACGTGAAGACATGGGGGGAGAGTTGGGAACAGAACTGGAATCCCCTTCAGTGCCCGACCCGTTGCCCATCACTTCGGCGTCTGAAAGAGCGTCTCGTTTTACAAACGATTTATTCTTTTTGAATGCTTTAGAGAACGAACTCCGGAGCCATCCAGAGCTCGAGTTATTCAATATTTTAGCCGTTTTTGATTTCTTCTTCGCCTTCATCTGAGTTTTGGGATAAAACATAGAAAATATAGTAATTATTCTCATTCTAATTGATTCTTATTTATGATTACTTACCGCCGAAAACATAGAAGACGTGGAGACGAGTGAAAGGGATGAGCCGTGAATGAGGTCTTCTTCTTTGAAATTATGATTGTATTGATTGATCGCACCATTGCTTGTGAGAGACCGCTGACCACAGTTTGTCATAAGACTCGAGTCATGATTCGGAGAACTGTAGACATGATTTGCAAAACGTGTCGGTGATGTCGGTTGAGATGTCGGTTCCGAGCATTTGTTTAGTCTAATCGATCCGTTTCTTATTAAATGATCTTTGGATCGGTTTTGAGAGGAACTGAATGCCGGCGAAGAGGATGCAGTTTCCCGGAGCCGAGGGTTTGGTGAGTTGGGTGGGGGAGGGGTTGAGTGCTGTCGAGGCATCATATAATTGGAGTCAAGAGAAAGCGGACCATTGAGTGACTCCAGACTTTCTGCTTCTGTCATCGCATTCCTCTGAAAAGCCAATGCGTGGCGTTGAAGCCATGGACTCACCGCACTCTGACCCCCATCGAACTGTCCCTCCATTCCGCTACCATATCCACCAATATCTGCGTAAGAAGACAGCCGTGAACTGATATCTCGTTGTCTGGCCGGTGATGTCATGTATGGGTATTTGTGGTTTGACATGAAATACTGATAATTGTTTTGTTGCTTTTGTTGAACGAATTCAGTGTCAGATTGAGTGGAATCGGTTTGCGGCGAACCATTGCTTTTGGACTTATGTATCGACCGTTGAACCATATATTGCTTCAGAAGAAGTCCGGGAGTTGTGGTGACAGCAGTTCGTTGAGAACTCGGACTACTTAGAGGTCTCTTATTTGACATGAGGTTTAAATCATGTTTGAAATTGTTTTTATTCATTCCGTGTTTCATTGAATCAAAGCTGTCGTGTCTTTCGATTGATTTTGAATTATTAATTAATTTCTTATTATTTGACAAATTATTAAGTCTTGTCTCGAGTCGATCAAGACTTTTGGTGCCCTCCTCTGTGTTGATGGACAGGTTACGACTGGACTTCGGGGCGACTGTGCTGTTGGCTCTCATCATGAGATGGTGTTCGTGAAGATATCGCTTCCAAACACCAGTAGAACTCAATGTAGACATAGACTCGGTTTGCATCGAGGAATCCGTTTTCTTACAGGACTTGCTTTTGACAGCGCCCTTAGACTTGGCACTGGATTTAGCCATATATTGACCCATAGGGTCGGCTCCGGTAGACGAGCTCATGGACGAGGTAGTGGTGCCACTGACTTCTGTGCCGCTTATCATACCCGCGTCAGAGCTCAATGAACTGCTGTCATCCAAACTATGCACACAAATAAATACAAAAATTTCATTAAAATATCCGCACAAATGTATTCAAATAAATATTTTGTTGGTTTCTTTATTATGTAATCTTGAGATGAGATAATAATTGAAAAGATTTCTTGAATTTTTAATTTAGAGGAATATTTTTCATAGAAATTTAGAGGAGAAAACCAAATAAAGGGAAAACAGATATAAAAAATAATTTCGAGATCAACACTGAATGGTATAGTTATGGCAATAGAGATATCGATCGGTTCTCTTGTAAAGAGTCTAACAGTAGGAAAGAAGTAAAGAGCGGACGGATCCAAACATCTCATCCCTTAATAAGAGGTAAGTCTATGGCTAGAAATTGATTGAAATACAAGAACCTGTGCAGTGTTTTAATAATCAAATAGATTTAATGCTAAAGCAAATCCAAATTAAAATAAGAGTGAATCAAATAAAAGCAGTTTTGTGTTGTATTTCGCGACAAGTCTTACCAAAACGATGGATGGGACGGAAAGTATGTGTTATTACTAGTGCTGTGCTTCGAGTGCATTAAATCAAATAAATTGGCCGCTCGTATGGCATTGGCATTGGCGGCACTGGAATCCAAACAAAAAATCTCAAATTAAATCAAATTAAATAAAACAGTGGATTTTTAATTTTTTGTGCGATTTGAGAAATTATTGAGAAAATTAAATGATAACTAAAAATAATTAAAAAGTCTTGTGAAAGTAAAACAAAATAAGTTAAGTGTTTGTGAAATTGATATGAATAAGTAATTAATTATTTGTTTCAATTGAGATAATCTTATTTCAAGACTTGAATTAAGACTTTGCTTTGAGATTTGAGAGATGCAAACAAAACTTGAAAATGATTTTGACTTTTGAATGCAATGAATTGAAAACTTGATATATTTATTGGTAAACGTAAGCAACAAATTGATTGATAGATAGCTTCTTGACATCTAATTTAAGATATGACTTGTATTGCGGGCTTACCTGTCGGTGTCGCTGTATTGCCTATGAGATGATCCTTGTGTATTGAGTTGAGGCGGACAGACATCAGATTGGTTAAGATATCGATTACTTGCACTGGTAGTCGAATGACAGTTCTTGTATGTATTGGGACGAGAGTTACGAGACTGACAGTCCAATTGTGTGCAATCACTCTGATATCCATTTTCTATGGCCGAGTAATTGTTTGGAAATTTGGAGTAAACGGATCCGTTTGGAGAGTGATTACTATTGGCACTGCTTTTCAAATACGCAAACTGTAAAGTCCTGGCCAGTAGTGGCATCGGCTTTATGTTGACCAGAGCTGACTCCACATCGCTATTACCGGCCGACTCTTCTTCGTGTGAAGACGAGTTCGAGTCTTGCAATCCGTTCTCCTGTTGCTGTTGTGGTGACTCTTTCTGTTGGTCACACCGTTTCTCCTCACTGTTTGTCTGTTTATTATCACTTTGTTTGACACCATCTCTCTTAATATGTGACACTTTTGACTCGATCTGCATCTGCTTTCTCTGGGTTTTTGATCGTTTCTCGTCTTCAAAGGTATCATTCTTAACAACACTTTTATTCTGTTCTCTGGCCATAATGGGTGACACCATTGCAATACTGGGCTCAGGTTTGGGACATCCTATTGGTTGTTGGGAAAACTTCTCAGAAGATTTCATTTTAATATTGCTATTGCAGTAAGAAGTCTGTTCGGCTACTGGTGACTGGCCCTCAAACTTACGCCCAGTGGTCACCCGACCGATGGTGTCGTTCGGCGGCAACTCTTTATACGTTGCCTTCACAGCAGCGGTTTGTTTGGCGATAGCTGTGAGCGATGTGTTGGAAGTGGACTCTGAGTTCGAAGTCATTGCCAGTGGAAGCGCTGTGTTGTCTATGATGGTAGACATCGGTCTACTTCTTGGCGGTTGAATGCGTTTCACTGGTATTGAGCCGTACTTTGCCGACGAATTGCTTGGATTTCTATTACTATTGCATACATTAGTCTTATTATCATTTGTATTGAGAATTTCTTCGCTTTTCTTCAGAATATGATTATTACTTAAATTATAACTTATATTAGAGTTAGTATTAGGGCTGGCATTAGGGCTGGCATTCAATGCGAGATAAGTGTTTTGGCTATAATTGTTGGCTCGAGTTTTGGGTCCACCACTCGGTGTGACGGATGGCTTAGTCTTTATGGTGGCAACTGTTGAAACACTGGTTTCTAAACCGCAAAGACTGGCACTCGAGTCACTTTTGGCAGAACTAAATCCAGAAGAACTGCTGGTCCTCTTAGGGACTATTGGCTCGCATTTGTTGTTCACAACCGTTTGAGAGCTGTTTTGTTCGCTGTTTGCTATTTGTTGTCCACTTTTGTTATATTGTTTAATCTTATCAACAATTGTTTGTTGATTACTAACATTATTCTTGTTTCTCAATATCACACTTGTCTTTGTACTAACACTCGGACCCGATATCTGTGGTATAGACGATGTGGACGATGGACGGGGCGCTCGAATAGCTTTTGTTGGCGTTGGGGCCGGTGTTTGGTTAGTCGATTGAGGGCTTATATCTGTTGACTGTGTATGTGATGGTTGTGTTTTGACAGAGGCTGGCGAACCTTATGAGCAAATCAGAAATCAAAGAATTCAGAATTTAACAGCTTTTAAGATATTTAGTTTTATACAATTTAATTTTATAGGAATAATATTTAAAATTCTCAACAAAAATTAATATGATCAATTCATTTAAAATTATGACAAAAACTTTTGATTTTTAATACTTAAAATTAACAACATTTCAAGTTAGTAAAGTAATAATGACAAAATTCATTGCTAAATATAATATATTTTATAATACAGTACATGCCGATTTTACCTAATAGTAAACAATTAGCCATCATAAAATAAAACAATTTAAGATTTAAATAGAATCAAAGAAAACCAATAACAAAATCATTACATATTATATACATTTAACAAATCAAATTTTTAAGTTTTGAAATTGTTTCATAAGTAAAAGTGGAGTAATATTATAGACAATAATTTAATTTATACCATATTTTCCATAAAGGTTTTGAGCTTTTTTGTTGGCGTTGGGGCCGGTGTTTGGTTAGTCGATTGAGGGCTTATATCTGTTGACTGTGTATGTGATGGTTGTGTTTTGACAGAGGCTGGCGAACCTTATGAGCAAATCAGAAATCAAAGAATTGAGAATTTAAGAGCTTTTACGATATTTAGTTTTATACAATTTCATTTAATAGGAATAATATTAAATATTCTGAACAAAAATTAATATGATCAATTCATTTAAAATTATGACAAAAACTTTTGATTTTTAATACTTAAAATTAACAACATTTCAAGTTAGTAAAGTAAGTAATAATGACAAAATTCATTGCTAAATATAATATATTTTATAATACAGTACATGCCGATTTTACCTAATAGTAAACAATTAGCCATCATAAAATTAAACAATTTAAGATTTAAACAATAGAATCAGAGAAAACCAATAACAAAAACATTACATATTATATACATTTAACAAATCAAATTTTTAAGTTTTGAAATTGTTTCATAAGTAAAAGTGGAGTAATATTATAGACAATAATTTAATTTATACCATATTTTCCATAAAGGTTTTGAGCTTTTTTGTGAACAAGCATTTTATTAGTTCCTAAAACACTTGTTTAAAGTGTCATAAAAATGAAAGTGTAGTGAAAGACAGATACAACCGATATATCAAAGTTCAGATAAATTACAACTAATAGAAGACAACTCTTTAGGATTCTATGAACTTCTTTGAGAGTCTATGAAGTCTTTGAGAATAATATTAATAAATACCGTATGTCTTAAGTAGTGTTCAAAAGTTTTAATTTTGATACAATATTACTATTTATAAACATTTCACTCAAATCAATCGCTTTAAAGTTTGATTCTAAACATTATATTTATGACAATACTGTGGTATTACTGGTGATAATAAGTGGAAAGGAGAACCTATTGGGAAAGTGAGTCAATACATGCGAACCACGCCTGACAAGAGTGTGTGGCGCCGGCCTTATGCCACAAGACATGCTTCATAAGCCAACTGATTGCTGCAGACTTCATGCAATTGTCTGTCCATACCATACCATACTATTATCTCATACATTGACAAATACATGCAGAGCTGTACTGAAAATATGAGACAATTAAACATTAATTGCCGTTTATATCCCTTTCCTTTAGGCCTTACGTCGTGTTTTTGATTATTAAAAAAGTAAATTCACGTCAGAGACTAACAGATTATATGATTGTATAGAATATAAAATAATGCTGTCGTGCGTGGAGTCACTCCTTTAGAGTACAGTACATACATCTGCCACTCAAACGATCACTACTTTTATTATCTTCTCATATATTGAAAGCATTAAATGAAAACACATTTCCATTCATTCGATTGCTTCTCAATTTTAATTTCAAATCTTTGTGAATGTAATGTCAGATCTGAGAAATATGTTTCCAATTCATTTGGTTTGAATTAGATTCGCGGCTCAGATAACCTTTAAATAGATGTGGACTTCAGTTCATTGTTTAGGAACTCATTCTTCAATGTGTTTTCATTTGACAGCTTTCTTAATGAGCCTTTTACGTCCTTTTCATACATTTTTATTTTAATATTTAAATCTAAGCAGTAATCATTTCTTAATTTATATTTTAAACAAACAAATATCAAATCTTATTGAGTATCATAATTACTTTATATTTTAGGAGCTTATCTAGATTAGCATTTTAAATTTAAAAAATTCAAATCACGTTGTGCTTGATAAGTAATTGATTACAAATCAAGAAATCTTATAGGATTTTATTTTATTTTTCAAAACAAAAGTTCAATATATTTACAACTAACTAAAAAGTAAAGACAGATAAAATGTTTACTATTAGTTCACTTCATTTACGCTGAAAAAGGTTTATAAATATTTACACAAAATTGAAGATTACAAATTAAATGTACAGTATTTCAAATGTTTTCTCAAATTAATGACATTTGAAGTAAAAAATAAACAAAAACTATTCAATTGAAGAGCTGTCATATTCTATCGATAAACTACTTGAGATTTTTTGTGCCATTAAGTTAACTAATTACAAGTTATTTGAGACTTTTTAAACTTCCCTTATAAACACAATTAGTGTCAATCAGTTTTGAGTTAAAAGATGAGAATATTAGTCAAATAGTTATTTAAAGTAAATATTTATATCAAATGAAATATTTTTCGAAATTGAAAATCAGTAAAAGTGAAGTCATTTGCGAAATCTTCTCAATTTTATCAAACGGATTGTTAAATGAGATGATATGATATGAAAAGAAGTTGTTTGAGAAAACAGATGCTCTCGAGTCATAAATTATGAATGAAAGTACAAATATTGAAAAGACCAAATTTCACAGACATTCATACAAATCGAGAAACAAGAACACAGAGAAACATATTGAATTCAAGGGCAGTGCTCACATGTCAGCATAATTGGGTGGTCAGACCGTCAGATTTGAAAACTTGAAAATAAAACTCTTTGTTTCGAGACTTGACTGACAATTAGAGATAACTATTAAAAACAAATTTTAAACCGGTATATCATATGATTTATGTTTTGCTATAATTTTCTGCTGTTTTACATTAGTTCTAATTTAATAGTTTAGATAACATTTTAGATAAAAATAATTAAAAAAGATTTCATGCATTGCTTATACACCCAAAGGATTTTGTTAACATTGTACAATAATTTGATTTAATCAATGATTATAAGCTACAGTACAGTACAGTATTAACAAGTACTATACAGGATAATAAAATGTAAATGTGATCGTAAAGTTTATACACCCAAAGGATTTTGTTAACATTGTACAATAATTTGATTTAATCAATGATTATAAGCTACAGTACAGTACAGTATTAACAAGTACTATACAGGATAATAAAATGTAAATGTGATCGTAAAGTCGGTAATAATAGTATGTTTTGCGTCCGTTACAATTGCATTATAAACTAATCTTTAGATTGTTTACATACAACTTAATGTTAAATTTAATTATAATTATAATTATAACTAATAAAGCTGAATGTTAAGTTTTAATCGTTTGAAACAGTGAACGGATGTTTCCATAAAACTTTTAAAATTAATGAATAAATTGAATAATTTAAAATATACTTTAATACCAAACAGATCTACTATTTGTATATTAAAATCATATTAAATAATGTAATGATCTTTTAAAAAATATCACAAAATCAATAAACGCAAACTACATAAAAATATTAATTATAACGTAATAATAACTTTAAACTTATTTGCATTAATTAATAAATTGAAAAATAATAACTGGCTAATGAGAGTTTTTTGGTTCTATTATATAAGCTCATTCATTGGGAATTGTTTGGCAAATATAGACAATTGTGATCCCAATCCCATACCTATTGGGCAGTTATGTTAACAATAGAACATTGAATGCATACACTATATGAATGTATTGTAAGTTAGTTTAAACATGAATTTTCTTTGGAAACATCATTAAAAGCACTTTAGCAATACTACACGCAATTCATCGTTTAACTAAATTAATGTTCAATTGATTATTACAGTATAATATCTAATATTCAGTATATTATCTCTTACTTGAATACAAATCCCAATCGATTGCTACCAAAAATCAAACACTTATGCAATGGGAAAAACTGAACAATTTTGATATTCAATGCATGATATCAATGGAATAGATATGAGAGACGGGAAAATGCATATAAACTAAAGTGACAGTCAGTCACACCGACAACAACAGTAGCTGTTAGTCAGTTGTCGTGAATAGAAGTGACCCAAAGCTGGTTTACTGCATAAAAGCTTATAACATAGCAAACAAAGTATAGCTAACTGTGAATCGAGCCTAACATCCATCACCAGCCACTCTGTCTGTAGTGTATGTGCAGCGCATCCCCCGAAACCCCTGTTTTTCTAAATCATTATTAAGGGGGAGATCTGCGGCCCAACGGAGCCCAACGTATAGCCCAACCAAACACTGTGTTGTGCTGTTGGACGCAAACCATCGGTGCATTCATTTCCCATAAGTCATAGCTTATGAGCGCTATATAAATGTATGCAATAACGCGTTCAAAGCATTCAACTCTAATTGTTTGCCATTTGCACAGAATTTGCGTTTTTTGGGTTTAATGTCTCCTCTATTATCTAGTTTTCAGTTTGTTTTGTAACAAATGTTTTATTTTTTCAAATTTCTCAATATACTAAATTCTGTCACTTTTTGTACATTATTATAAAGATTGAGTGCAAATATAATGTTCTCAATGTTATGAGACTTTTACAGTTATTGCCAAAAAAGACTCTTTTCTTAACATAAGCTATGCTTTCAAATAGATTTGGTTCTTCACAGCAGAGCATCACTTGGGACTCAATATACAGTCATTTACGTAAACATAGTGTCTATGGATTCACATCTTCCAGCCCTCAGTAATTGAAGTTTACTTCATCTCAAGAGCATTGGAGGCAATAATTATTTATTCAAATAATGGATTCAATGTAAAGAGATATTAACCAAACACTCGCATTTAAAACAAAAAATGTTTAAAATATAATCAAATATTAGTTTTATAAATAGTCCTAGTTCAGTATTATCAGTTGCAAACATTAAAATATATCTTAATATTACTGTAACTAATATTGAATTTTCTAAATTTAATCTAAATTATCAATAGTAAGTTGTCTAAAGGAAACTGAATTTTACAAATAATATGAATTTTGTCGTGACTTTAAAACATAAGAAAGTCATTTGAAGGAACATAACGAATAAGTTTCTGGAGATATTGGAAATAACATGTTTGCAGAGAAAGCCATAAATATTCGTTAGTTGTATAATACATACAAAGCTATAATAACACAATCATTGCTCCTATCGATCGGTGAGTGTGTTATGAATGAAATGCAAGACTAGAGTCAATGCACTGATGGGCGAGTGTTAGGCAGAGGTGTTATGAGAAGTGATTCTAATGACAACCGGTCTATGATTTTACGAAACCAGGAAAGCCTTCAAAATAAACATCACTAATATCTTACTTCTCATTCAAATCCAATTCAACTAATTAAATTCAAGATTTTTTACTACTGGATACCAATTTTCAATACTGACTCAGTTTTTGATAATAATTGGTATGATTATTACCCATGGTTCTTTTTATTTTGTTAAGTGTTTTTCGTTACAAACAATTCTTTTTGTTTATGAAATAAATAAAAGTGAGAATTACATATTTTTTATTAAATTTCATTCTAGTTTGAAAACGTAATAAGTTACTAAAACTTCATTTATTATAATTTATAATAAAAACAAAATATTTGTGTGAAAATATTACAAACAAGATTTGGTCTGTTTGCTTTTGTTGCGATTAATATCAAAGTTATTAGTCATTAACCGAAAGGAAATTTTTGCAATGATTAGTAAATTGTTAATTAAAAATAATTATATATAGAAAATTGTGATATTTTGTTTGAATGCAACACTTAATTAGCTATAAATGATTTATTGCCAAAAGTAATTAATTTAATCTTCGGATTGACTAATATTAAGGAATTAAAGGAAAACCTAATTTATAAGGAAATCACTTCTAATACTGAGGAAATAAATGAGGAAAATATCAATAAAAATATATTAATATTCTTGTGGATATGTAAGACATAACGGATTTCATGAATGGCACTGCAGTCATGAATTAGGTGTTCATAAACCTTATGTCAAGCTTTGGTTCAGTGGATACAAGTATAACATTATTAAAGATACTAATATTCATTGAAAATCAACAGAAAACATATCTTTGGATTACAGAATATAGAGATGTCTTACCCTGAGTTGGAGTTGAGGCACATTTAGCTACGGAAGGGCTGACTAACGAACATATATTTCCTCCGCCAGAAGACGTCTTCTTCGGACCGATCGGTATCGAAGAACAGGAGTTCTTAGGATTGGTTTTGTTATTGCAATGATTGCCAAATGGAAGCCTAAGAGTAAAGAATCGAAAATAAATATAAGATTACACGACATGTATAGCGAGAGTTGCGACACATTGTGGCACACGTTTGACCGAACAGATGAGGGAAAGCTTTTTGAATCGATAAGTTTTGGTCTGCATATGAATGGCTTAACAAAATCGATAAACCGGTGAATGTCTTACTTGGAGAGCATGGCTGCAGATGGAGTTATTGGTGACACAAGATTGCCGTTTTGTTGAGATACTAGTTGTTGGTGATGTTGGATGTGTTGCATCTGGGTCTCATGGTGTTGGTGCTGGTGCTGGCTTTGCACAGATATTAGTTGTTGTTTAATCGCTTGCTTATATCGCGACAGATTGAAGAATAGACTTAATATTGATTTGAGATTTCCTTCAAATATATCTATAATTAATGAAATACAAAGAATATTCTTATATACAGTACATACATGTAGTAATAAATGACATAAAAAACAAAGTTTATAAAATTAGAAAAGTTTTGATTGTTTAACGGCTCATACAATAGCCTTAAGACAAACTTATTAAATAAAAATCGTCATAATTCAAGCCCAACCATAGCAACGATTATTGATGTAAAATGTAAATCTTATGGCTTTTGGCAAAATTCGAGATTAAAAACATTAATTATAATAAAATCGGACTCTATTTGATTCTTTTCGACGTTTACAGTTATGTTAACATTAGTCATGTTATCAAACATTTAATATTAAAACTAACATTTTATGCAAATCCTAACAAAATTGTCAGTGAATGACAAATGGTGTTTAACTTATGCGGCATCAGTATTACGATTGCAGTTATAACTAATTGACGTACAGTACAGACGGTAAGTCTGTGCATGTGCTCCTCAATTAACAGCTATTACTCTACCACTAAATTATATTATATTAAATTTCTGCACTATGCCTAATGTTGGTGCCAAATAGTGTTCACTTATTAAGTTCATTACTTTGAATTATTATGTCTATTCTATAAAATTGTTCAAATTATATTTCATTAAAAAATCATAAATAGTTGTATTCATCAATATTTCACTAATACAGTATTTCAAAATAATATAATTTAGATTCTTAACTGTAAAACACTATTAAAAGAAACAAGGATTGACAGAGAATTTAACTTCTTAACCACGATTCTAATTTAGCATTAGATTAATGTAAATGTAATTTAAGTTAAAATGTATAATGATAATAATTTTTTAATAGTTAAATTAATATATTATTGGTGCTCATCTGTAATATTTGATCAGAGTCAAACTCTAATGAACATTAGAATTTAGAAGGGGCCTATACTATATACCACATTTTCCCCTTATGGAATCGTGTTTAAAATAAAAGTAATTTCATACTTTTTAAAGTCAATGACAGTCAAACCTTACTTATGCTTATTTTGAGTGAAAGCTCAACATTGAAAATGTTTTGAAAATTCAAATAAAAATGATTTAATCTTTTTTTCTGAGGAAAGGAAGTGTTTGTATACATTAAATATTCACAGCTTTTACTCCATTTCTACACCTCTTTGTTGCTTCCGAAACATTAAATTACATTCAAATTTCATTCACAATTTTATGTATAGAATGAGTAAAGAGTGTATTATTTTGTATTATTCTTTCTATTCTCATAAATTTATTAATTTGAAAAAACAATATTTTGTGATAAATGTAGGATAAGAATATTGTTTAAGATTTTAATCAGAATAATATACAGTAGAGTATAAATCAAAGTCTATAAGACTTTTAAAAATACCGTTTGCATTGATTCCCTCGATATCGACTCCCAGTTGAGTCAAAAACTGAAGACTCGTCTCAATGTTATCGATCTAATGGAAAGAATAGAAATTCAATTTTAATTTTTAATTACATTCTATATAAGAGATAATCTTGTATTTGTACACAAAAGAATGAAAAATTATTATTAATAATTAACATTACGATTATTGTCTTTTGTATTCATTAATTATTTGATATGAACGAGAATTTAATAAAATGTTGAGCTATTGAAGTGATGAGAAGTATTGAATGAATGGATATATAAGAACAATACAATACATACGAGAAGTGGATGGAAGACATTGGATGTGAGAATAATTGTTAAATAAGACTAAGAAAGTGAAGTGAATGTGAGTTAAAGATAAGAATGAAAGGAGAGTTAAACGTCTAGAGATGGATCACTAAAGGGAACGACTGGTCATCGAAAGGAAATACCAAATGTTGAGGAGTAGACACAACCGGTCTTTGGGCACAATATGTGAAGCAATAACAGTACGGATGAGATATGAGATTCAAGATTAAGACTGTCTCTCACTGTAAGCTATATTGAGTTACAGTTATTTCATTGTATATAATATTATCATATTAAAGATACCAAGAAAACGCAAACTTAGCTCAAAATCATAAAACTAATAACAATTATAATGACTGAAATGAAGTCTGAAATGAATAAATAAAGTGTGAAAACAAGAAAATAGTTTAACAAAGAAAATGCACACAAATTCTTCGGGACCAACAAAATGTGAAAAAATAAGTTATTTTGTGTTCATTTAAAACATATTCAGTCTCACGTCTGGCAAACATTGCTTTTTAAGTGACCCCTCTTTTTCACGACCTATTGTCTAATGGATTGTTGTTTTTTCTTCAGAATCAATGTCATGTCAACCAATATTTGCTTTTTCTTCTTAATTCTAACTCCAGTTCTCTGCCAACGCTCTCCTATTGAACAGCCATTCCTCTCATGAGTAGTTAACTTAGAGATCGTTTTCATTTGCACTTATATTCCGGAGTCAACACAAGCATAGAGTCGAGTGGATCAGCAAAAAAGGTGACTCACTCTCCACACTCTCAACACTCTCTTAATGACATCATTGCATAGTTTTTTACAGACATTTACAGAGTTGTATCACTCGTGAGGAATAACTACACCAATGTGTCAATAAAGTCATATTTTCTAATTTTCTTGTGTTTTTAATAACCAAATATTGATTATTTAAAAGTGAATTCAATGTCAAATTTAAATGAATAGAAATGCATTACAGA